ATCCCCGTCTGTTGCAATGATTGTGAACTTTGCGGAAGCATAAATGGCTCCCACTGCAGTATAGTGTCAGTATTATTCTTTAGCAAAACTTGCCCAAGAGTATGGTGTGAGACAGAAAGAGAGTATAGGCGTGTAGGCGCTTGGAAGTTTTCTCCTGGTTTATAGCTCAGAATACCAGTAATATACTTGTCATCAGGTTGAGAGATGATAGTATCCAGACTTTACTTACTTAGCGACAATTGATGTGCCGTCTGTTTCCTGTCATCTTGGATAATGCACAATGCATCGGCCCATAGATAGCGCTCGCCTAGCATACTGATAAGTCCTGCCGAATGTTTGACAATTGGCGAAATAAGATCCGTAAATTCTGGCTGCGCAAAGGCTCCTGGCTGCAGCAGTGCATCCAATATCTTCGTTTCGGTTTGAAGACACACTGTACTGCCCCATCTGTAGCTCAATGCGATATAGTCGCTGATTCCATCACCCGGTACCAGACAGTTGTCCAAGACGTCTATAAGCCAGGCAGGATGAGTAAAGCGAACTTTGAATGGATTGCAACAAAGGTTCTCATGCTCTGACAGACATTCCCGTGTCCAAATACGAAGTTGTTCAACGTCGACCCAATCACTATCAAGCTGGCGTCCGCGGCGCAGCAGAGGGGCCGCGGTCGGCGGGTTCAGCAAGACGAAATCCCACCTGGGCGAATACCATTCAGGATATTTCAACTCTATCCACCCACGTGCTTGCTCTTTATCACCATAGGAATTGAGAATCACACTGGGCGCCCCCTGGACGTTCGCTTGGCTGCGGTAGGAACGGTCATACTCGGTGAGAAATGATATGAGTGCATCGTGACCCTCGCACGGCTTTTTGCGGATGAGGTCCTCCAACAATCCGAGATCTCTGGAGAGATTTGTCGGATGAAACTTGGACAAAGAAGACTGGGACCAAGACAGCACCAGCTTTATGCATCCGCAAACAGCACAGGACTTGGTGACCAGGGCAAGCTCCCTGTGCCATTTTTGGTTATCGTCCTCAGCGTCCATTGTGATAGGACTTTTCCGGCGACGGCTCAGGGTTGATGCGTTGATGGCTTGTGTGCATGATTGTTGAAAGAGGTGCCTGGCAAGGAGACTCAGGTGCGCGGGCGATTTTGACCACAGGTAGGATGATGAGGAGTCGTAATACGTTTCTTTCCACGGCGTGCTTTCTTTCTATACCTGTGCATGCTCCCCCCGCTTTCCAAAGCAGGTGTTTTCAGCTCTGTGCCACGTGGAGCAGTGGTGAGTCTGGTGACACCGAGAAAATGCCCCCACTGCATTCCCAATTGAATCACCCAAAGCAATATTACTTGGCACTCTATCGGCATGTAATTTCAGCCTGCTGGATCTTTCCTTGCTAGTATTGTCCACGCTTATAAACAACGCGAGACTCCAACTTCTCGTTTCGTATGTATGTCGATCAAGACCTTACTACCCATCAGTGTACACCTTACTAGGTCATATGCTTAGGATGCCCATCTTCCACGTCGTTCTCGTCCATTGGTTATCACATAAAGCTTGGCAGTCAGGGTCTATCAGTTTCACGTGCTAATTGTTGTAAAAATAACATCAAGAATGTATTGAGTGAGGTGTGCCACAACAGTACTATTACCCATTGATCAGACCATCTTGGCAAGCCTCTTCCTCTTGTTCACGACATCCTTCAACTCCGTAGTGGGCTCAATGTACGGCTTGATGGTGTCCCTCACGAGGGTGCGCTGCTCAAAGGCGTAGGCGAGCCCGATCAGCTTCTCCTCGCTGAAGCGCTCAGCGAGGAAGGAGATGCCGAAGGGGACGTTGGGCGCCGTGTCGTTGAGGTTGCCGAAGCTGTTGGGGATAACGGTTTGGTTGTCGGGGTACCGGCCGAGGGGCACCGTGACGATGGGCGCGCCGATGACGGCCGGCAGCGTCGACGAGAAGGGCGTCGGCACGATCAGCGCGTCCAGCGAGAAGTTGGTCAATGCTCCCGTGATGCCCAGGAGCCCGCCGTAGTACAGGTCCGCCGTGTAGTTGCTCCAGAACTCGGGGCTTGTGTTGTCGTACCCGAGGTCAAGTGAGTCCTGCCACAGGTTGGTATCGCGCTCCGGCCAGTCCTCGGCTGGGAAGGCCTGAGTAAAGTCCTGCAGCTCCGCCAGGCTGGTGATGTTGTGGGGGTTGGCCGTCAGCTTGGCAAAGTAGCTGGCCACGTTGACGATGAAGTCGGCCTTGAGCACATTGAGCTCGTAATCGGCCGACGCGAGAACCTCGTAGCCCTCGAGGAAGATGTCGTCGACGATGACGGCGCCGGCCTCCCGGAAGACGTCCAGCGAGGCGTTGAAGGCCGCGACGACGGCACCGTAGTGCTCCTCGGCGCCCGTGATGTTGAACACGTTGCGCGGGACGCCGATTCGCTTTCCCTGTAGCGCAAAGTAGTCACAGGCCGCGGCGTAGTCTGGTACCGTGTCAAAGGGGATGGCGCTGGTGTAGTTGTCGTTGGGATCCTTGCCGGCAATGGCCGAGAGGATGTAGGCGGCGTCCTTGACGTTTCTAGCCATGGGCCCGACCGTGTCCTGGTGCTCCGAGATAGGGACCACGAGGTACCGGGACGTGAGGCCGACGCTGGGCTTGATGCCAACGAGGTTGTTGTAGCTCGACGGGGAGACGATGGAGCCGTCCGTCTCGGACCCCAGAGCAGCCAGGGCCAGGCCGAGCGAGCTGGCGACGCCGCTGCCCGAGCTCGATCCCGAAGGGTCCTGGCCTGGGTAGTAGGCTGCTTCTGTCTGGCCACCGTCCGCCGTCCAGCCATTGCTCGTGTTGTCGCTTCGCCAGTTTGCCCATTGGGAAAGGTTGGTCTTGCCCAGCAATACGGCCCCTGCCTTACGCAGCTTCGAGGCAACCGTGCTGTCGGCGGGCAACTTGGCGCTCACCAGAGCATACGAGCCGGCCGTGTTGGGAAGCGAGTCGTTGGTCCCGATATTGTTCTTGATCAGGAGAGGCACTCCGTGAAGAGGGCTCAGAATAGTGCCTTCGGCCCGAAGCGCATCAGCCTCGGCGGCGACGGCGAGCGCGTCCGGGTTCAGGTACGTCACCATGCGCAGAGTGTCATTGACCTCGAGAATGCGGGCCGTGTAAGCATTGACAAGATCGACGCTGGTGAACAGGCCCGACTCTAGGCCAGATACGAGGTCCTCAAGTGTTGCCTCGATCAGGGGCGGAAACGGCTTCCCGTCGATAGACGTGCTCGAGTTGGTGCACGACGCCGAGAGCGCGACGGAACAGGCCGACAGTGCCAGTGTGCAGTACGTCTTGAGTGAAACCATCTTGAAATATTCAAATCCACCCAGCTGGAGCTGACTGGAGTCTTGGCTATGTAGAATGTGAGTTCAAATGGCAGTCGCAAGTCCCAAGCCCCCGACTTGCCAAAGTCGAGATACAAGAGACACTGTTATATAGAGGGAGGAGAAATCTCACAGCGCTGTAGTAGATTGTAGGATTGGTCCTGTCGCGTTCATATATTGACGCCATGTTGCCCGGAGATCTTGTCCCCAGGCGGGACCGAACATGGCTTGCAAGGCAGCCTATACAATTTGCAACCCTTGCAGCCGGCATCCGGCTTCCGGGGGGGGGAGTAAGATAAATATCAAGCACGACTGGCGAGATATGACCTTGCTCCTTGGTCTTTCTCTCGAAATGAAGACGTCGAGGGGTAATTGTCAGCGTCATCGACATGGTGAGCCGGCGCGGGCTCACCTTCCAATCCCAGTATCGAGTAGGATCGCGTCGCGTTTGTGTAGGGATCTTTTCAATCCCTTATCGCGGGGTTCTTTTGGAGCTATGGAAACTGGGGGATTTGGGACGAGATGACTGATTGTTGGGATGAAGAGCTCCAATGAGGAGCGCCGATTGATACCCCGGCCTCGGCCTGCATTGGCGTCGCAGCAAACGGGCCCGGCAGACTGATGTCGTGCGAGCCACCAGTGAGCGAGCGTCAGGGCGGGATAAGAATCAAATCATTGCGATATGAACTTGGTCAGCAGAAATTTGTTCATGATCTATCGCAGAATAGGCGGCGAGTTCCTATGGGCGGAAGAGTGATCAGATGTGCTGACATCTTACCATTGGTGAAGATGGCTTGCAATGCACGAGTCATTGATAGATTTCCGGAAACATTATTAGATCTTGCTTGCGTTGCCGCCTTTTAATAGTCGTTGTCTTTATTTCCAATCGTCCATGCCTTGCTCGTCAGTTTTAAACAAATATCGAATATTTGCAGACGTTATAGCTTGTGAGCTAGAGGAATCATATTGCCCTGTGTTTTCGGCCGTGGATTGAAATATGTTTTATACATACCTATCTAAGAAGTTCTCTCCTTAAAGTCACAAGTTCCCAGTTGGCCAAACGTAGCACCAAATGCTGTCTGTCTGCTTTGCAAGCAGCATACATTGGGCAAAGGAACATAGCAACTTCCACAATCACCTAATACTTATTCAAGGCTCTTGACACCTCTTGCCAAATTTGATGCCCCATATCAAAGCCAGACACTTGCGCCAGCTAAATGTGGTGGTGCTTGGGCAGAAGGCAGTTACTTATTTGGTTGTCTGCCACATCAGAATCCTCAGCAATCACCCTTTGACTGGAAAGAATGATATAATCTTCCCACGGACTTGAGATGTTTTTATTTCAATTTTTATCACAAACAAACCCACGGCTAAATTCCAGGAGAAGAGGAGGCACATGTTGGCAACCACGATTGTGCTTTGATCTTTCCTTGATTCGTTCAGTTTGGCGTTTCATGTCTACAGACTAACATGAATAGTCGACTGGCCTTTCCCTGGGTTGCTCTTTACAAACTATTTTGATCGCTAAGTAACTAAGACTCCAGGCAGACATCCAGTTTCATCTTCACTCAGGTGATAACCCAATGCAAGCAGAATTCTTTCAACAAAGACACATGATGCACTCAGGTGTTTGGAAATTGACGCCCTATTAGAGCAGTGGTTTAGCTCGCTGGTCTCCGGAGCCAGATGTCGCGGGTTCGAATCTCGCATAGGGTTTCATTTCATACTTTTTTTGTCCTTCAATTCTGCAGGGGCCGATAGACACTGCTGGATACGAGTGTGTTTTAACCTGAGTCGGATTCCGAGTTCATTGTCTCGGTATTGGAGACCCTTTAAGACATGAGATAGAAATCATAACAACACTTGTATACTCTTCCACGATGAGTTTTGTTCCATAGTGCAGCTGTAGTTCATGCATCGTATCGCGCTTGAAGGAAGGGCATATACAATCTATGCATCGGCTTTTAGGGAGCTCTTGCGCACCGTTTCCAAGTCGTATCAGCAGAGCGCATAGTTCTATATCGTTTCTTCAGGACCGTAAAACTCCCAAGTTGCGCATTGTGTCTATTGTCTACATGAGCATCGTGATTTTGTATTGATAATTTGTCACTGGTATTCATGCTGGCGACTCTATCTTCCCGCACAGGAACTGAATTTTGGTCCAGTAGTAAGGACACCAAATAGCAAATTAAAAATGTGATGATAAAACTGAATGCAATCCATTGTCTATGAATAACATATTTGATTGCAAGCGAATGCAAAATAAGCCAACATTGAATCGCATCGTGACTTGTGTACAGTGTGTGAGACAGTGCATTGAGCGAGCAGACCCCAATGTGCCAATGGCTGCCCACTGTGCTAGGCACATTCTCAATCGCTTTCCGCCAGCGCCGGGCCCCTCCAAAAGTTGGGCGCCGACTCAATTTTCTCCCACCATTGATTGACTGACATACCTGAACATTACCAAGCACGACACATAAAATTTCTACAAAATGCACATGGCGCAACAGCACGATCTTGAAGATGAGGATCTGAGGATCCAGATCATCTCTGCTGGCGAGGCCCCGCGCCCCGTCGTGAACAACGAGGAAGATTTTCTGGATGACGTCTTCGGCTCCGATGCAGGATCCGTCGTCTTTGACCCGGAGCACGGCGCCGAGGCTAGAGAATCCCACCCGTCCGACATCAGGCGGCTGCAGGCAGAGCACACGACTACTGGATATCGCGATGGCATCACTGCAGCCAAGGCCAAGAGCATCCAGGCAGGCTTTGATGAAGGCTTCGGCCTCGGTGCCACCATCGGCCTGAAGGCTGGCCAGGTCCTGGGCTTCCTCGAGGGCATCACGAGCGCGCTACGAGCCGCTGATGATGGCGGCGTCAGTGACGACAGCTACCGCGAGGCTCAGCGCCTCCTCGAGGAGTCGCGAAAAGAGCTGAGCACGGATTCCATCTACGACGAGAAGTACTGGCTGCCGGACGGCACCTGGAGATTTGAGCTACCATCTGCCACGGCCGAGGGCGACATCGTGTTCGAGGACATCGCCAGCGCGCACCCGCTGATTTGCAAGTGGAACAAGATCATCGAGGAGCAGCTCGGCAGGTGGTCGGTCGACGTGCAGGTCCTGCAGCATGCTGACGAGATCGTCGGCGCCATCGCCCCAGAGAAGAAAGAAATCAAACTCGAGCAGCAGGCTCGCGTGCAACTCGATTGGTGAAGTCGTGCCATCTGCATGTTCAGCAACCTCACCGGCGCCCTTCGGTTGGTGCCGGTATTACCTTGCAGGTTACACTGCCTATCCCCAAGGCCCAGTGGCCTGGCGACGGCTGGGAAATCGAAGGCCTTTGCCACATGCGATCGCCGGCCGGCAGTTGCGCAGAAGGAATAGCCGTGCTCAGCGTCGGATCGCTCCAAAACAACCGCCCAAGAACACCACAACAAATCAAAATACACACAAATGTAAGTCTCAATTGTACATATTGCGGCTGAGTGGCAAATATCGCCATTTTCCTTTTTACGATTGTGCCTCGCGCTGACAATCTCGTAGTTGGTAGTACACCAGCCTTCCGCAATGAAATGTCTCAAAGCACCCGAGTCAATTGAGGGAATTGCCCACAGTGGTACGATTCCTTCTATGCGACCATGGTCAACTCCTCTCAGCCGGATTGTCATTGGGCGTCATAGGTCGTATGCGGGCTGTGCTGTCGTCCAACGAGCAGCCTCGGTCGCCAGTTTCTGTCCTCTGCCCTCCGCAAAAGCTTCCTCTGAGGCTGCATGGTTTGTCAAACGCTGGGCACATAACGATGGTGGGGCGGGCTGCATGTTGGATACGAGGTGCCAATCTGGAGATGGTGTGCTGTGTGCCCATCCATCCGCCATCTCACCCACCCTCCACAAGGCAGATGAGCATCTTGTATGGATATCCGCATGCTGCAGAATGACTTGAATCAGCGTCACACATGCATAACACCTGTAGGCCAAGTTCTGCCATAGCGTAGCGCTTCGAGCGCTGGCTGGCTGCTCTCCAGAAAAACCTAATAGAGTGGCATTCCGAGTCTGCCGGCTCACCCAGTGAGTCGTTTTGTTTCCCGGCGATCGGGCGGCACAGACTGCAACAATATTCTTGAAACGCGACAGGACAACAAGAGGATTTGCTGTTGGCGACGCAGATCGACATGCTGATTTGCTGGGCATAACGTAACACCAAGACAACTCTAAAATTTGACTCGCGGGTTCAGCTGCAGGAACACAGCATTAGCATCGCCTTTGGTTGCGTCTTTTGCTCGTGGAGGGTGACAGTGAACCGCATAGACTCTGAATCCATTGGCCGTGGCCGTGGTTCCAAGAACAGACAACATTCGCCTCTGCAGCCAGTCGACCAGTCCAGAAATGCGCTGTGACATGGCCGCTTGGCTCTCTGACTTGCGCCCTCGCTGGCCCAATCACATGGCCCCAGGCTGGTGATGGACATCTATACCCCCCTGCTTTGGACGCCTTGGTCCGAGACATGGGGCCCGTAAGGACCTTACCTATTCGGAACTATAACCGCTCCTCCGGCCTACTGCAAATGGCCGCGACTTGCCATTTCCTCATCGACGCCGGCCTGTTCGTCAGCCCACAGCCTGAATGCGCGATGGGTTTCCCGACCAACGTACTATAAGAGCCACTGCGAATACCCTGTGACCCTGCTTTGGACTGATCCCTACTCCTGCCTCCAGCCTCCCAGGTTACTGCCCGCCCGTCTTACAGGATTTAATAACAAGGTTGTTTATAACCTTTACGTTCGTTTTTCAAAGAACATAACTCGCTCGCTCAAGTATCTCGTCTAATACAAGATACTCCCACTGTCGCTTCTTCGCCTTCCACCTTACCACCCATCTCTCGCATATTTGTGAAAGATATCTGATACGTCTACACTTTTAATAATCATCACCAACAACAAACCAACAAAATGAGAACTGCTACCTTTGCTCTCTTGGCTCTGGCCACTGGTGCTCTGGCGCACGGCGGCGGCGGTGACCACGGCCACCCGCCCCCTCCTCCCACCACCGACTGCTCGGATGACGTGCCGGCTCCCACGCCGTACCCGGTAGAGACCACCACTCAGTACACCGTGTCGACCACCACCGAGTGCGACGAGACCTCCACCGCTCCCGTGGAGACCTACCCTACTGAGACGGCTCCCGTGGAGACCTACCCGACGTACTCGGAGACGGCTCCCGTTGAGACGTACCCGACCTACTCGGAGACGACGCCGGTAGAGCCCTACCCTACCTACACCGAGATCTCGACCGCGCCGGTGGAGACGTACCCGACCTACTCGGAGAGCAGCCCCGTGGAGACGGTCACGTTCCCCACCGAGACGTACCCGGTCGAGACGACCTCGGCCACCTCGGCCGTCCCCACCTACTCCTCCTCGTACCCGGTAATTCCTCCTCCCTCCTCCTACCCGGTAATTCCTCCTCCCTCCTCCTACCCGGTCATCCCGCCTCCCGCCCCGTACCCCACCGTCTCGTACTCGTCCTCGGCCGCCTGGACGACCTCGACCACGGCTGACAGCTATCCCACCACCAAGGTCACCTCGGTCGGCACCACGAGCTTCACCAAGACCACGAGCGTCAAGACCAGCTCCGCCACCGAGGCCGTCCCCACCTCGTCGGTCCCCGTCACCGCCGGCGCCGCTCGCGTCCAGGGTGCCGGTGCCGCCTTGGTTGCCGCCGCTCTCGCTCTCCTGATCTAAGCGAGTTGATCGTTTTATCGCTTGCTTTTTGGCTGTCGCGTGACCTGCGGCAACCTGATCATTTAGATGGGAGTTGGGATTTTTGTTTGATGAGGTTTAATGAACGGAGAAGATTCTTTAAAAAGAGATCTCCCTTTGCAAATGTTTAATACCAATGGGCGACGTCTAGTGTCTTGGGTTTGTTGCCCTTGCCACAGCGCCGCAGGATTCCTTCTTTTTTTCGGAATGCATAGGAAAAAAGGGGTGTAGTCATGGGGTTGGGTCGGGAGTGGTAGCACTCTTTGTGAAAGATTCTGTTGTATACCTTTTTAGTTTTATCAAATTCAATATTTTATCATTTACAAGCTTCTTGAACCTGCTCACTTTGCAATTGATGACTTGTTGCTGGCTTGGTCATTATTCCTTTTTGCCTGGTGTTTCTATACCAGGTCTATTTTCCTGTGTTTCCGTCTCCGTGGTTTACGTATATAATGCGTGTGATCTAATCCTGCCTCATTCCCAAAGTCAATGCAGACCATTGCAGCTTGAATCATGCAGAACCAAACGTAGCCATGTCATGCATTTGGCCGGGCCGATTGCACGCTTTTGCTGGCAGAGAGACTTTTTCCACTGCCAATTGAGATCCGAGGACTTTCTTTATTAGGGACCATGGAGAGCTCTGTGGGATCGACGCCCTGTGCGTGCTGCAGAAATCAGACGGGAACGAGGGAGAGCCCCGGGCATAACTATACAACCCCAAAGCACGTTCAGTGTTTTTTGATGAACGGTATTATCAAGATGCAATCTGCGCCTTTCAAAAATGTGCGCAGCTTTTCAGGGGAATAATGGTAACAGAACAGAGCCATAGCCTTGAAAGGCAGCGCAAAAAATATTTTCGAGGTTTTTATTTCGAGGTTTTTTTGAGGTTCGAACCCTGGCCTTCAAGTTTGAAGAGGTTATCTTTGACTTTCTACCATTCGACCAGTTTTCTATTGCCCG